CCAATATCTCCAACATCTAGCCGGTGTCTTATGAAGATTTCCCTCCTCTCGCCCAAAAAAAAAAAAAAAAAAAAATATCATCACCAATCCAGCCAGGTATGCCCATAATCTCATAATTCCTTTTCAATAATTTTACTTGTGACTGCAAAGTATCAGTAGTCGTTCAGACTTCATACTCGGCTCACCGCGCAGTTTATCACTCAGTTCATCATTCGGTTCATGATACGTTCAACAGTATTGTCGCGTCATACTACCAACTTGTGTACACGCGAACATTTTATATAACGCTAATTAATCATGAATATCTAAACCAATGCATCTTAACAATTAAGTCTACGCTCGTCTTTATGAATTACGTAATGTATAAGGTGCACTATTCATAATTCATAGTTACTGATCGATAAATCAATACCTATTATAACTTATAACGGGGTTTTGCCTGACCCGGGGATTTACCAATCCAGGCTCACCGTTTATATTAAATTTTGGCATGCTAAAAAAAGTTATCAAAGGGCGCCAGGAGAATGATATTCAATTAATTAACACTGCGACTTCGGCTAGCTCTTACCTCTTCCTCAGGGCGGCAGGCCATATTGAAATACACGTCGTGAAAGAATAGGATCGCAAAATAAAAGAAAATACTCAAGAATTACTCAGAATAAATTCAGAAAAATTTAACAAAAAAAAAAATAACAATTCCTTTAACAAAAGATACGTCAGCAGTTGATATGAATTTTTAACAAAAATTATAAAACGTAGTTACTTCAATTTTCTCTCACAACCTCACGTTCATAACTCAGCAATCACTCTTTATAATAATAGCAATGAAAAAAAAATAATCGTAAAGCGTTGAATCCTCGCGTATTATTTTATTATTCAAAATATATCCACAGATTCGGTAGAATCTGGCACCAAGTTCCGTTCAAATCCGTTGTCAACAGAGCGCCAGACTACCGACTGTGTTTACTGTAAGCAGAACGGTATTTTGAGGTTGCAAAATTTTATTTAATTCTACGGTACTTTTTTTTCCTAAATTGTATATTATAATAGTAATTCATACTTTATTTTACTGTTATTAATTAATTATATTCACTTATAACAATTAATCTACTTGAAATTACTAAATTTGATCAGCACAAACTATAGCAACGCAAAAATTTCGATCCTGACTTTTTCTCGATGGGCAAAGTGATCTGCCACAGACTAAATAATTCGAGAATGCATAGTAATCCTTCATTAGATGGGAAACTACAGTTAAAAAAAGATATTTCACAGCTTGCATCTACACCCGCCAGGGTGCGCTGGAATTATTTTTACATAAACTGTAGCTGCAAGGGAATAGTTTGCTATAAAAATGCAGCCAACGCGAGATTTAAATTGATACCAATTGTAAATTTTTACTAAAATTACAAAAAATACTAAAATCCGAACAAAAAAAGTTTCACTGTAAAAAAATCGCGCCAAGTCCACCAAAAAAAATTTTGTTGTAAATTTAAAAATAAAAAAAAAAGATTTTCCGAAATTAGAAAAAATTTTGTTGTAAATTTAAAAATTTAAAAAACAATTTTGGAACGTATTTAGTGTGCGTTGTTGCGAAATATTTTACTTTTAATTAAATTCGTAAAATCTATTTACTAGGGCTTTAAAAAAATTGAAATACACAATGTGACGCACACCAAGTACGTTCCAAAATTTTTTTTTTAATTTTTAAATTTACAACAAATTTTTTTTAATTTCCGAAAATCATAAATAATCATATCGGTTACTTGGATTTTTTAATTTTTTTATTTTGTCTTTTTGTAAAGAAAAAACTAATTTTTTTTTCTTAATAGTCTTATGAACGTGGACTTGGCGCGATTTTTTTTACAGTGAAACTGTATTTGTTCGGATTACAAAATTACACGTGGACTCTAAACGCTGGATTCAACACTGAACAAGAACTTCGGCTTACCAAGCAACTGAGCGTCGTCCTCGTCATAGTAGCTCAGGAGAGCTTCTTGCTGTTCACTCGATAAAGAAATTCTTCAATAAAAATTTTACTATTAATTCACAAATTAATTTTAAATACAAAATATATCACGACATAACTATGAAATTTTATTTAGGTTGCGGAGTGCGCAAAAGCGCGTCTGTATAGGTCGACAGTCCAGCCTTGAATTGTCTTCTCCATGGAGAAGTATCCGCTTCTTCCTTCGTTGAAGTTAGCGGTACTAGTCTTCGTTTTCAATGGAATTGATTCCCGTTGATAGTTGATCTAAGTCCGTATAACAGTCAACGGACCTCCACGACAGTTTTTAGTCACCTCTGCTCCTTCAGTACTGACTAACCAACTGTCATCGATGGTGATCGGCATATTGGAAAATGTGGCAATGCAGCGTGAATTGGTACCCAGACCTCTCGGGTGTTTACGCCGCTCGGTGCCTCGCTCACTTCGGTACTCGCTTGTTTACGTCGTATCTCCATCCTTGTCGCTCCAATGCATAGCCTCGTACTCGCTGTTACTCGTCCTATCGTCGTATCTCGTTCAGCGTTGCGTATTTTTACAAAACAAATGTTTACCAATTAGTCATATTTTCATTCATTCACACATAACATTCACGACGTTGGATTCGAGCCTGGAAGGTTATAATACCCTGAGTATTGGGCGTCGAATGAAAATCTACCACGTTACAAACTCTTAATAGTTCTGTATATTAATAATAATCATATTCTACGCTCGTAATTGTGACTTACTTAATGTGTAAAGTGTAATAGTCATAATGCTTAAGTGTTACTCGATAATGAATTCATAAAATCAATTATATCCTAAATTCTAGTCAATTTCCTAAATTCTAGTCAATTATTGTGATCAAATTCCGTCTGTGATACACTTTTATGAATAAATGGAAAACCACGAATAAAAAGCATTATAATTTCTTTCCAACATCCCGTTCCAGCAAATAAATATTTAATGTTTAATTTTAAGTTCAATTATTTCACAATACACTAACGAAAAACATTAATATTTATGCCTTTCAACATCACTGAAGGTACAGTAGATTTACATGAATTTATTTTATTTATTCCCGAGATGTTATAATTTTGTTGAAGAAGCAGTAAGAATGGACTTATCAAATCGAAGCATGTTTCTACTAATAAAATAGCAGCGGATAAATATCCGCTAAAATTAGCAAAAGCACTTTCAAGAGAATAACTTGAGAAATGCATTAGAAGCCTAAGATTCGAAAAGATCAAAATTTTTGAGGGGATATGTTTGAGATATTAAAATATAATCCAAGAAACCCTTTATTAGTTTATTATTCTTTGATCAATGATCTTCTTTTGTTACATGAAAAGAAAGTTATACTAAGAATTACGATATGAGTATTAGTCTAATCAAGAAGTTAAAAACCTGAGAAAAATCATTCAAAGTGTCACGGGGCTCCTTTATTACCCGTTGAAGGTCTTCACCCTAGCCGCGGTTAGTTATCGACAGATCACGGGCGCTGTGGACTACGATGCTCGCGCAGTAGAAATAAATTAATATGTTCCGGGGCCTAGACAGTAAGTGTCCGAGGGTGGGGATAATTCCACACGGAGGTAGAGTGAAGTTGTTCGCGCCGAAGGAAGACATTGTGAAGCCGGAGCCAGACAAAGCTACATCGCAATTCAACAGTCTCAGGTAATTATCTTTATTCCTTCGAACCTTTTTTGTGGAACGAAGCGATTATTCACCTTTAATAATTTATACCTATTTTGCTAGGCATTTAGCTGGCTTAACTAAATTAAACGATTACTCTAACAGTACTGTGGTTACGGATTAATAAATATCGCTGAAAATTTCCTGAGAAGCAACGCTAATAAAATTGATCAGTCAACGAGCAGCGGAGATTATTGCTGCAGACACCGGGATCTGAATACGTGCATAAAGCTACGAGAGTCGCCAGGAAATTTTAACAATCTCAGGTACTGATAATTAACCTCTATAGAAATTTTTGTGTTGCTTAAGGAAATTCTAGGCACTAGCCAGGTTCCGTCTTCCAATCACTAGATTTATTAGTATATGATTTATTTAATATAATTTATTTAACATCTAAATTTATAAAATCGAGGTTAGGAATAATTTAATTAAAATTTAAGATTGAGGAAGATTCCGAAATTTAAAATAAGTTAAAATCAAAATTAAACGAGGTTAAAAATATTGAATTAAAATAAGAAATAATTTAAGTTAAAATTGAAATAAAATTTATAAAATTGTAATTGATTTAAAATCAAATTAGTGGTTAAGTGCAAAAGTAAAATTCATTAAATAAAATTTAGAATAAATTATAATTAAATTAAAATCAACGCAAAATATTATTTAAGCTAGAATTAAATTGATAAATAAAATTTATCTCTAAAGATTAAAATAATTCAAAAAATTAAAATTTAAATTTTAATAAAATCAAATTTGTAAAATAATTCTAAAAGTGAAATAGTATATTACATACCTTAGCCAGTAAAATAAGAAAAGTCTCAGACCACATGTAATTGTTGGCCGAGGCGAAGCCGAGGTTGACAAACATGTGGTCTGAGGCTTTACTTCCCGAGAAAAAATGTGTGTAAACTATTTCTGCTCGACGTAGCCGGAATGTGGCAACTTTGTTTAGCGCAACGGCCAGAAAGTTGCCACTTTCCAGCCGGAGGGCAGAAAATTTTAATTTTAAGAGAAATTGTTTTTGTCAGTATGAAATCTTGAAAAACAATTTTTTTTGGCAGTATGAAAAACATTTACTTGAAAAAAATTCAAATTTCATATAAAAATTGAAATTTCGGAAAAAAACTAATGTAAAAACAGTAATAGTTATGGTTATCATGTTATCAGGTTTAGTATTAATCTGCGATGGTAGCTATTACTATCATGCATTACAAATATAAACTCTAAGATTATAATCATTACAATCATTATGATACCGATTACTATCATATCAGTATTCTGAATTTTACAATCATTCGGTGGTAATTATTATACATTTCTTACCGTGTAAATGTCCGCCACAAACAGGTGGTATACTATTCCAATGAAGGGAGAATCCAGTTCGAGAAATGCTGCTGTCCGTGTGGAACCATAAGTATATGCTATTGTGAGTAGAAATGATGTTGCCATTCATCGGTAAATTTTTTCCACAAAATCTTCCAATTTGATGACTACCAGCGTTTCCTCCATCGTGTATCTATATTTTTGAAACGAAAAACGATGCTTCCGAAATCAGTTTATTTGTTGATGGTTGGATAAAGTATTAAAAAAGTACCTGAAGAAAGTCATGACGACAACCAGGGGTTGATTCCAAATCGAACTGTGTGAAGGTAACGTTGAGTACTAATGATGTATTCGTTGCTAAAATATAAGCACAGCTGAGACCGTGACCATAAGTAACACCATTTGGAGGATATGTTAGAGTTCCTGCTACATCACGGATTACGCCTCCACAAGTTTCTTTTGGAGTTTCACACCGAGGGCCTGAATAAGCAGCTGTGCATTCGCATGATACTTGTTGATCAGCTGTCAGCATGCAAATTCCGTCATTTTTGCATGGATTTGGAGAACATGGGTTGATTGGAGTAGCACAAGTAATTCCTTAATTGTACAAATCAATGATCAGTATGACAAATATTGATTCATCAACTCAAGCAAAAAATTATATTAAAAGGCTATTTTACCAGTATATCCAGGATCACATCTGCAAATGAAGCTAAGGTCGTGCGGTATACAGTGACCATGAATACATGGATGACTAGCACAAGGTCCCTGATCAACTTCAGTGCCTGGTTGACATCCTTGAGGGCCGATTCCACTACCGTGGTAGCCAGTAGGACAGCGACACTCTACAAGAAGATTGTTGAACCCAGGATTATCGATGCAAATAGCAAGTGGGTGACAACCTCCGTTATTGATTCTGCAAGTTCCGATGAATACACATGTGACTCCATCACCTTGATAGCCAGGTGGACAGGACCCACATACTCTTGATCCCTAATTTAGACGGTTCAATAAAATCATGATTCATAAATTTGTATTGATAATAAATTTTAGTTTAGAAAACTAAAAAATGCAGTTTAATAGCAAACCAAACTAAAAAGTAGAAATTAATTTTCAATAAGTTTAAATTTAAAATAGTGATTATGATTAACAAAGAAATTCATATTATTGCATAGAGAAAAGTTGGGTGCTTCTAAACATATTTTTGTAAGAACTATCTACCGATAATATGCTTACAATGATTGATATCAAAGCACCCTACATTTTTTTTTACAATAGAATGAATTTTTTTGATAATTACTCTATTCTATTTTTATACTTATCAAAAACCATTTTCCACTTTTTAGTTTGGTTTGCTATTAAACGGTTCGGTAATTATTTACAAGTGGGTTCAGCCCATGCTAGCCCATGTTAAATTTTTTTTTTTATCAAGTTGACCAAATTTTTTTTAAATTGTTCGTTTCTTTATGTACTTTTCAAAAAAAAAAATATATATCAAAAACATAAAAAAAAGATAAAATAGAAATTTTATCCAAAAACATGAGAGCCAAAATTTTTTCCAACTTTTACAGGCAAACAAGCTATTGAAATCTTTATTTTTTCTTTTCAAGATATTTTTCATCATATATGCGCCGTAAAAACAAGCAGAATTTTAAAAAAATTTGAAAATGTTAATTTTTCACTTAGTTATGGCCCAAAATGGGGTTGACCCCACTTTTAAATAATTATCAACGGTATTTTTTAGTTGTTTAGAACTGTGATTTATTTTTTAATTTTTTGGTAAAATATTACCAATCAAAAGCTTCAGATTGTAGTATTGAATTAACTGAATCAAAAGGATATTATTCACTGTAATTGTATAAATGATATACTTTTAACGCGTAACATTAATTAACATCTATTTAATGTGGATATTAAGATAAATTTAATAAATTATTGTATTGTTACCAGTTCCTAATATGGGTGCAAATTTTTAAATCAATTCGAGTTCTTTTAGTTTCGTGAAAATTACGTTTAAAGATTATATTACGAAGGTACATGTCAAGCTGATATAAGCATGGTACTTGTTAATAATAAAAAATTGATGATTTTAAAATTACCATTGTATTGATGCATTGGACTTTTGGCACAATACTACAACCACCATTGTCTGTTGAGCATTCGTCGATATCAGCACAATAGTGCCCATTTCCAGTGTAACCAGCAGGACAACTACCGCAATAAAAGTCTCCAGGTACATTAATGCAAGGCACATATGGTTGCATTGAACATGGAGGATGCCTCGCTTCACATTCGTTCACGTCTATTTTACATGCAGGGTCATCTCCATTCGACTTCCATCCTTGATCACAGATACATGTGTAACCGCGGGTTGTGCCAGTAGCCACACATGTACCGTGATCACCACATAATTTGTGAGAGTCTTGAGCGTTACAAACGGCTGTGTTCGAAGTGCAATCGACTCCATACCAACCCGATGGGCATGCACAGCTGAAATAAATTTCGTTAATCACAATCGCAATGATGGTAATAAAAGACCTCCGTTGTCGAAATGAATCAAAGTGACGCGAACAAACCTGTATGATCCAGGAAGGTTTGTGCACGTTGCTCCGTATATAATTAAATTTAGTTATATATAATTATATATAATTAGATATGATTATATTTGGCCATTTTTCATATATAATCATATATAACCAATTTATATATAAATATATATAATTATATATAAATATTTTTTCTCGGGTTTTTACTGGTCAAGGAGTGTATACTATTTTTCTGCTCGACGTAGCCGGAATGTGGCATCTTCGTTTAGCGCAGCGGCCAGAAAGTTGCCACTTTCCGGCCGGAGTGCAGAAAATTGAAATTTATAATTAAAATTAAATGTATAAAATCATTCAAAAAGTAAAAAGTGACAATTCCAATTAAAATCAATCTTCGAAATTTAAAACAAATTATAAATTGGTAAATCATAATTATAAAATTAATAAAAACAAAAGTTATTAATAAATTAAATTGTTCAAGACTTCGATAAATAGATTTTCCAAATTCCAAAAAATAATTGTTGAGAAAATTTACAGTAAAATTTTGACCTTGTAAAATGTAGCCAAGTTAATATTCATTTTTCAAATCCACTTTGGAATTCAAGATGGACGCTAAGCCGAGTAATCAGGCAGATTAAATTCAATTAAAATAAATCTAAAGTTTTTGGTTTCAAGAAAAGTTTCTGTGATAAATTAAATAATAATAATAAAATGAAATCAGAATTTAAATTTAATTATTTATCGAAGTCAAAGTTAGGAACCGGGATAGTTTAAGTTTGTTTCCCAGGAAGGTACATTGTAAAATGCGAGTATTAGGAATTTGTTAATTAAAATTAAGTGGGTTATTTTAAATATTGTTAATTAGGAATAGTGTGATAATTGGATAAATTGTTTTATTAAATAGTGTGTGTGGGTGTGTGGAAATATTTTACATTATATACTCCTCGTTCACGGGCTGTCGAGGAGGTTAGTATTAGCGGGTTGTCGACTAAGTTCATTGTATCCTCCTTAGTCCCGTACAAAGGTCCGGGCGACAGCGAAAGGGCTAAGAACGGTTTGAACCTTGGGCAGGGGTCTGGGCGACCATCCAAGGTCAGATCTAGAGTCATAGAGCGTGAGGGTCCGGTGGACAGCGCGATTTAATTAGAAACTGCGGCATATACGCTCCATATAAGGGTGCTGTAGGATTAGGAAATTTTGATAGAAACTACAGTATAGACGCTCCCTCAGAGGGTACTGTTAGGATTAAGTTTATTTTTGATATTGTATAAGAGTGTGTATGTAATATGAAATTATTCAAGGCTATTGTAAAAGTCCGTGAATAAATTTGGAGTTTAATTTGAAAATTAATTGTTATTATTTGTGTTAACCTAATTATAATCTCTCTCGACCCTTAGATATCTCTCATAGCTCGGACCGGTTCTGGAAACCGTGATAAAAATTCCAGTGGCGCCCTTAAATTTAAAATTAAAAAAAGGGGTGACATAGTAGCAGGAATCAACCGTTACAAAAGTCTCTTAAGAATATGCGCGATAGCTCGTTTAATCCGGAAAATTATTTGAGAAAAATATTTTTAACTTCCCGCTAAGAAAATCGGAAAGTTATGGGTTTTATCCTATCGGTTGATTCGAGAGATATCTTAAACGAAAGAAAAGCAAAAAAATTGGAAAAACGGTTCACTCTAAAGGCTATCCGTGCAACTTCCCGCTAATTCCATTCCTGAGCGCTTAAAATTGTACTTATGAAATTTTTGATATTTTTAAGATCAAAATATAATTTATGTGATATTTTGAACTCGCTGAATTCAAAGAAATAATATTTCAATGCATTTGAGCTCTCCCAGCTCAAAAGTCTGATAGAAGTTTCATAGAACACTATTTTTGGAATTTTCAAACCGCAATAACTTTTGAATATATCAACCAATTTTCACGCGGTTGGCGCCATTCCACGCAGTTTTATCATCCTCATAAGTTATTTTCAGGTTTTAATTGATCGAACCGAAAATTTGGGAGTAATCCCGAAAAAACACTTTTTTCGGTTTTTTTTCGTTCACGATATTTCTCGAACGAATCAACCGATTTTGATCAGCTTGGTGGCAATCGACGTGGTTTTTAAATGTTAAATGCTGATTAGTTTTTGGAATCGATCAGTAAAGCTGTTTGAAAGTTATTCCAAAAAATGTCGGAGTTATGTTGAAAAAATCCTTATTTCCAAATATTTCGTCGAGGATATCTCTCGAACCAAATCAACCGATTATTACAACTACCTAGGCGGCGTATCAACCTGGTTTTTGAGCTACTAAAACTTA